AAAGTGTTCTTTGCAGGAAGCTTCTGCAGCTGACCAAGATTCCAAAAAAGTAAGCCCCTCATGAGCTGGACAAAAACAAAGTTCATGGATCTTGTGTGTTAGTGACCGAAAATATCTCTATGACAAAGAATCTGGAGAAGAGTAATGTTAAATTGTGAAGGCATCTCATTCAAAGAAGTGCAGCATGAAAAACCATTTCGGATATGAATATCACAAGTATAGCATAAAAAAAACCTTTTTCAATCTTCATTAAAACGAAAAAGTGATTTCGTGATCCAAAAACAAGTATGTCGACTAAAAGTATCTTAAAATACTTTGACACATGTTATGGACCTAAATGATTCGCTTTTCTTACGAAAAATGCATCTGCTAGGATTTATAATATGTCTAGGATTTGCTTTATTTTCATCCAACATGTTTTTGATAATCGATTCAAGTTTATCGGGGATGTGCTTCTTTTTGGTAATTATTTCATGCATCACAACTGGAACTGTGATAAAAACGCTTTCCTCACTTTGGATAGTATATATAAGAAACAAAATTCCTTATTACCTGAAAAAATGTAAGGGTCAAACATTTTTCCGTATTGAACTATGGATTTTCCCATGCATATTAGCAATTGAAAAGCTCAATATAGGTGTGTAGATAAATAGACTTGCATGCGTTACAAGACAGAATCTCGCACTGCGTATAATTTATAGCGAAGTTAAAAATAGAATATAAACAAGATTTTCATATTCTTAAGACTTGAAAATCGCTGTCTTTTTAATTCCTAAAAAGTAACATTTAAGAAATAGGATTTAACGTAAATAACAATTAAATCAAAAAGCACTTATTTCGAAGATCTTGAAATCTTATTTCTTCAAAATTGAGGAAAGCCTACCACAAAATATATTAATGGAAAAAAGGACCATGTTAACCAAGTACTTATTTTCGTATATGTGTAGGGTATGATGTTATGCGAACTCTATTCTTGACATTAACTGCAAGCTTAAAATATTTTTTATCTGTGCGTAAGAATCTTAAGTTTTCGTAAAATATTTGCATACGTAAAAAATGTTAACAAAAATTTAACCACAAAAGTTCCTTGATTAATTAAAAATATTTTCTTGAACAATAGAACATAACTGTTATCACAAATTAGCATAAAATTAACTGGACATTGTATGACTGAAATTCAAATGCCAAAAAAATTAAACTCTCAACAGAACATCATAAAAAGTCAATTAAACTCATTAAAAAAAACTGCAATTAATAATAGAACATCAGTAAACATACTCGCATCCGTTGACTATCTCATACTAAGAAAAACTACGGAAGTGCGATGTGTCTACTACTATGAACTCGAATTCGAGAACTAATATTTAATATTTTTAAGAAAACCACAAAATCAGTAGCAGTCCAAGAATATAACGAGAATAAAAAGAGAATAATTTGAGATGCATCTTTTCATAACGTTTTTTTTATCTATTGTAGTAGCAGCAAAATTATAGCACATCAATAATAATTATATTTAATTGCACTTCAAATTTTTGCATTATGCAGACGATTGGATGGATGAAGTGCAAATTGCAGTTTTATATTTGTTCGTTATTGCACTGCTAAGACACTGACCTAGACTTGGAGTAAGTGGTGATTACACTCATTGTGATACAATTTTCGCAATAGTGAATGCGGAGTAAATCGCGAAAATTTGGAACAGGAAAGCAATTCGAATTGCGTGTAGCAGTTATTGCAGTGCGTTTCCTGACCTTTGCGTTTTGCTCCCAAAATGGAAATTGAAAAATAATCATATCACATATACATAATTATTTAAAGTCACTACACATAGTATGATCAGTAATTTATGTTTGTAAGCATAAAATTACTACTTAGGAGAACATATAAAATATATCTTATAAGTAGAAACATTATATATATTGTTTGTTGTAAGTTGTAAACTGCTGAACGCCTTAAAATAAATTTTTTTTCAAAATTTATTCCACATTTTTTCCCTTTCTACTAATGTACAAGAAAATGGTATAATTAATCTGTTCAGAAAAAAAGTTTTTCATTCCAAATTTTCTTTTTTTTTGTGGTGAGTGAGGAGCTGGAGTGCTTTATGCACCGTCAAACAGGCCTTCACCGGAATGACATGTCCGATTTCTACACAAAGGGAACTAAACATCCCCTCTTCTTTTTCGTAATTTTTACCACTGGGATCGTTTCCATATTACTTCGGGACGACATCTTAAAAATTAACTATCCATACCATATGCTTGTCATATAACCTTCATTTAGGCTCCAACCTCTGATCCGAATTGAAAAGTTTCCAGATTGCTTTTCGTTATAGTTTGGTTTGCGCGAGGTTTTGTTCTTTCATTTTTTCAATAATATTCTCGATCATGAAGAGACCTATTTATTTTTCACAGTTGTGTGCTCAGCACCAGTGTGCTCAACACCATTTCAGATCCGAATTGTAAAGTCTTCAGATTGTTTTTTGCTTCAGTTCGGTTTGCGTCCAGAAGAAAGTGTGCTCAGCACTATTTCAGATCCGAATTGTAAGGTCTCCAGATTGATTTTTACTTCAGTTTAGTTTGCGTTCAGGTTTTATTTTTTTTTTCGGAGCACATTTCCGATGAATAATGTGATTTTGTTTCAATTTTCTGTTCGTTCTTTCATTTTTTCAATGATATTCCGTGAGACCGTTGAGTAATCTATATATTCTTCTACTAGTGTTCTTTATTCATGCCATTTTTCGCAGAGAAGAAAGTGTCCTCAGCATCGTTCTCGTCTGATCCGGAATATATATATGTATTCTGCAGGGCCACCCTAATGAACATAGCTAGTACATAAAAAAGTTTTGTGAGTAGTTTATTGTAATAATTAACTTAACCAGTTAATTCAATAAGTTAATAATAATTATATTTTATTAATTTATTGATAATAATAATTTAAAAGAAACTGGATCTTAATTGACTTAATTAATTATTCACTCATTTTCATATACTTTCAAAGTTTTCTGAAAAAGAAAAATAAGTGCTAAATTTTATCATCAAATTTGAGATATTTATTCCTAATAAATTGTTATTACGACCACTGAAGATGGTCTACAGAGTAGATGGAATTATCTGTAACACAAATAATTTTTTTATGAAAATGAAAATACAATTAAATATTTAACATAAATTTATAGGTGTAATTTTTATTTAAAAAATTTTAAATTTTTATATGTTAAATTAACGACCTAAACCCGGTATTTATTCCTTCTATTTCTATTTCTATTTCTATTTCTATTCTACTACAAATTTATTTTTGCTGAGCTGATGCCCTAGCGATTATAAGGAAAACTGAGCATAACTAATACAAGTGTTTTCAAGTTAGTTGACTTTAATTAAATACATTTTCAGTAACAATGTCAATACTGTTCATATGTAATAAAAAATTTAATTGACAATTATGTTCCCTGAGATGTCTTCTCGAACAAAAAATACAATTATTGAAGACAAGAATCTTAGACGAATGTTTTACAACTTCAGCAAGAAATAAGTAAAAATTCTGCTTGTTTCTTTCTTTTATTTTTTTTTGACAGTATTTAACTCAATATCTTAGCAGCATTGCAGAAGAAAAGTAATCAGTTCTGTAACGAAGCCACATAGATCACATATAAAAAGAATAAAATTCTGTTAGGAAAATATTAACAGCAAAGAAATGGTGTGCTTAACATCACTAACATCACTAGAACTGATACTGTACTGGTAATGTACGCTAAAGCTCCTGCTTTGGTGGTGGGTGGTCAGCTTAACAATGAACAAAAACAAAACATTTTACAACTATGTTTAGCATTTCTATACACAACATCGGCAGCAGAAGAGGCAGCAATACAACAGCACAAGCAGCGACAGTAGCAATGGCAGAATAGTGGAAACAACAACAATGCCAGTGCATTGAGAATTTTATTTAAATACGTTCGTCCCCATTGGGAGGCAGTCAGTCGTTGTGCTTTTCTTAGACTTTTCGGTTCTTCTGTGTTTAATTGTGCGGTTGTAGTAATTTTGTGTTGTGTTATTTGTTCGCTTGTGAGTTCATGTGCGAAATTCTGTTCATTTGAAAGGATTAAAAATATATTATTAATGCAATTTTAAAACGATATAATATTATAAACAATGTTAAAGTGTTTAATATTTATAATATTGACATATTTCTGTTCAAATGTGTCTGCTGATATTGATCATAATACAATAAACGATGATGGATCGTTCTCTTTTCGGTAATTTTTGTTTTTAATAAACAAATTTTAAATTTGTAAATTAAATAAATTTTAAATTTAAATAAACAAATTTTAAATTTGTTTATTAATGTTTAAAAAAAAAGAAAAATATAAATTCATGTACATTATATAATATTGTAGTGTCTATGCAATTTAATATACTAAACATAACCCGCAGAAGTACATAGCTACCTGTCAGATCTATTCTGCTGTAATATAAAGCAGTCCTAATTAGAGACTTTATAGAAATTAATTATACGAAACCAATTAAAAATAAATAAATAAAATAAGTTATACAAAAGTCGATGCAAACATAAACTAATACAAAAAAAAAATTAATTTATTATTATTATTTCAATGGAACATTGCGAAATCTATTGCGCTGTAATATAAGGCAATTTTAATTAGAGACTTTATAAATTATAATTATATAAACCAAATTAAAAAAGAATAAGCTAAATGTATAAAATTCATATATAAGATAAAATAAAAATA